CAAATCTACAATTTTAAGATTAGGTCTATTATAAGAGCGGTACTAATAATGAAGTAGACCATAATTCTACAAATTCTTTTCATTTGAATAACATTTTTATATTGGTTTCTAAACAATTAATTGACCTCTATTGAATAATTCATTTCTTAGCTTATATTTATGTTATTACATATTAAATCATTGTTTAGAAAAAAAACCCAAGAACTTTACATTATTTTACATGGATAATAGGACATATTACAATGAATTCATTGTACTACTCACAAATTTCATCATTCTTATATTATTTACTTCTTGTTTATCTTGATGATATATACATATAGGTTAGGTAAAATTTATGAACAAAGTCAAACTCAAATTGAAAGAATTCCTTGATTATCCTTGAATTAAAATTGATAGTCTATATATATAAATGTTTGTGTTGTTGAGATCAAATTGTTTTTTAGGTTGCAATTTTCACTATTGTTGTGAATGATAAATACCTATTTGTATCAGAAGGGGTTTTATAAATATTGTAGTAATTTTAATTTTTGAGATCATGAGTCGATTGGAACTGGACCACCATGGAAGGCCTGAAAGTACTGGACGGCAATGGCGCGCTCGTGCGCGAGGCAGGATCATGGATGCGCACTGTTGAGGAGTCCAGCAATAAAAGAAAATGGCCAACCACTGCTTCCAGATTTTCCAAGTTGGTTTAGCTTCAATCTCAACAGCTAAAATAACTACTTATTTGTTGAAAGTTTATAATTTTTGTATAATGTTTGCAGAGATTATGAGTTCACCTAAACTGAGAATGAAATAAGGACTCTGTAACACAATGACAGATAAGCTAGCTATTTCGACGCGATCCAGCCCAACTAACTAAAGACAGAAATCTAAATTCGGAAGAGGGAAATATATTCCACAAGCAGCAAGAAGCACGCAAAACAACAACAAGGAAAAACCAAGCGTATATATACAACATAAAAATGTCCTTTGGAAGCGTTACAAAACAGCATACCTAAAGATACACGAACCAATAACGTTTATTAATCTCCCAAATGGGAAATATGACATGGAGATAAAAATGAGAGCTTTTGACATGAAAACAAGAAGTTTTTAAGTGCATTATTGAAGAGTCCTACAGTAGGACGAAACGGTCGTCCAGTGCTTCCAGGTTTTGCATGGTGATCTAACTTCAATTGACTTATGATCTTAACTATTAACAAAATGTCATTGTTTAAATCATATCCTAAATAAGTTTTCCGTTCATTATTACCCGACAAGTTATTATTTTTATTAATTTGATTATTTATTTTATTTATTATAACTATCTCTTGAAAATATCTAAATAGACTATTAAATGCACTTTATATTAGTAGTATGTGTTTCTATGTAATGAAATGTGGAATTTTTATTCATAAACAATTGAATATTTTGTAATTATTATTGACAAAATGTTTAAACATAATTTAGTCTAGACTATTTATTTAAATAGTAAAATATGTTGTGTCGTTTATGAATTCATTCATATGTACTTCATACTAGTTGGATACTGGATTCGAAGTGAGTAATATGGTGTTTGGTTATCTTCATTAGTAAAAATATAATTAGAAATATCGTCAATCTAATCAAATTATACAAGTGAATAGATTTGATCAAAAAATAATTGTTGATTGAAGGAAAAATGTTGGTGAGATATATAACATACACTTTGATTAATCTTGATCAAATGATCAATTTATGATCTTAATCAAAAACATAACAATCTCAACAATTCCAAACTGATAATTATCATGAGCTCACTAGTGACTAGCTTTGTGAGGGAATTCTTGGAGTTCTATTGAGAAGCTGTGTCCATTGGAGCTAATCTGTGTCAGGTAGAGACATGTATCTATCTTAGACAATAGAAGATTGGTTAGAGTCAAACCTTAACACCGCTGGATGTCGGCCGGCTCAGCGGTCTTGAGGTTGAGCTTTCTCGAGTGAGACCGAAGATCTTGGGCTGGAATCCCATGTGTGTGATCGTGGATGAGCACTGTTGAGGAGTCCCATACTAAGATGAAACGGCCGTCCAGTGCTTCCAGGGTTGCAATGGTGATCTAACAGTGATTGGCTCATCATCTTAACCAAAAATATGTGTATAAACTATGATTTCTTATACATTATAATGAACTTTAACATGAATGATTGGTTGAATTCATTTAATTTAGATTTTCACAGGAATTTAGTTAAATGAAAGATCACTATTTGGTTAGAAAACATTATAATTCACCTTAAAAGCTTTTAAGTGCTTTTTAAGAAGAAACGTCAGGCTTGGTATTATTCTAAAACAAAATAGCTTATAGATTTAATAATACATTTCAAAGAGTGTCTTGATATCTCAATGACTGTTCAGTTTTTCATATAATCAGTTGAAATACCGTAATCATAATAAAGTCATTTATGTAAGATCTTGTATGATAGTTACGTTTGGATTACTGATCAATTCATAAACGTTTCGTATCATGCACCATCATTAACTAAGATAAATCAAAGTACTCGATTGTCATTAAGTATTGTATATTATTCCGTACCATGAGAACATAAATGAATATTTGAAATGTGTAAGATATATATTAGACAGAATAATGACTGAACTATGAAGTACTTATCAACTGCGATCTTAAAAGCTTTAAACTTAACTTTTCATATTTACTACTCAAACTTAATATCTCAACACAAATCGGACATGAACAAAAAACTGATAATTAAATGTAGGTCAACTACAGAACAGTTCAAATCAAACTGTTATTTATTATAAGTTATTGATAGATATGGACAAAAAATCAATTAATGAATATATCTTTTCAATCCACACTATGGGACAAATAAGGTATTACCTACATACTGAGTAAATTGCCATAGATTTAGTTTGAAAACATGATCATTACTAAGATTGGGGCTAAAAATCTTAGTTTTTATGAAGATCTTGTAAGAAAAACAACCTTAAGCATATTTTCTGAAATATTCTCCGACCGACATCAATCTGAGATAAAAAATAATCTTTCAGATAAACTAGTAACCATAAATCTAAGAAGATATCTGTTGAAGAAGAATATTCACATTCGATGCAGATATAAGAATTCCATTTCCTCAATGAAGTCTGTAAGTTAATAAATCAGCAAGATAGTTTAATCCATATTAGTAAAAAAAAATATAGTTCAGTGCTGTTTAATGTTTAAGTTTAAAGAGAAGTGATCACACCTATGAGGAAAGTTACTCAACTTACAAAAAAATATTGACCAAATTTGTTGATTCACAATTACAAATTAAAAGTTATTCATCAGTTCGTTATATTGAATTAAGGAATAACTGTATATTAATGAAAAGCGGTAACATCAATAATCTTGATATAAACATACAAAATATGATCAAAATGCAAATAGTACTAATGATGCTATACAAAATAACAATGAATTGAATAATCTAAAAAGAATAGTATAAAAGAAATGAAGGTCAATGTGAATACATTGTGTGCATTCATAACATGATTAATTTGTGTATAAAATACATTGTGGTGTCAATTATGTTAATTTAGTGAACAGATGAATGGGATTTGTGATGCGTGCTACTTATGTTTGTCGACATAAGTACTGTGTGCAACACCAATCAGAAGTGGATACCCTTGCAACAGAAGGCTATCAAGGTTAACTTGAAGAAAACATAAATGGACTTAGAAAGAAATTGTGATTTGGAAGAATCATAAATAATGTGAAAGACAAATGAAGGATGTCTGTAAATGGAGTATTTAATGTACGATTTTTATATTCTGTCAAGAGACTCGTTAATTTTGTGTTCTCGTTCACTACAATAGAACTTGCTATTACTTATCATTTCTAATATATTAAAAACACTTAAAAGAAAATAGTAGAGATTTGTGACTTAGGTAAATGATTTTGGTGGAGTCTTGTTATATGAACTGTGTAGTTTAATCATGGAACTTTCATTGTCATTCTGGACAATGTCATCATGACAAAATTCAGTAGCTTTTCAAATCTATCCGCATATAAGTATTGGCTTGTTTTCCTTACGTTAATACTAATTGTTTGTTGTTGACTCTTGACTTGTTCTGTTTTACCTATTTATTTATTTTGTGCGGACATGAAAAGAATATTTCTTGATAATTGTATAATATCAGAGGAGGGTTTTGTAGAGATTTCAATAATTTAATAGTTGAATTCATGAGTCAATTGAAGTTAGACCACCATGAAAAACCTGGAAGTACTGGAAGGCTGTTGTCTGGCTGACTCAATAGTCTAGAGGTTAAACGTTCGTGCGCGTTTTTTACGCCTCTATGATCTACAGTCACCTTTAATTACTGTAACAAAAACGTTATAATTAGTTACTAACTTATTAATTCTATTGTTATTATTCGTATTACGTAGTCTCGTGTTATAATCTTTCAATTACTTTATTTTGGGTATTCCTTGCTCATATTTCTTCACGGAACTAGTACTTTGATAAAAAAATATTTGACATATATACAATTGTACAGCTTCACAATAAATTCGTTGAAAGGAGATCTCTTTGCTGAACTTCGTGTTTTTAATGTTTAAATAGGAATTATCTATCAATCGATCAGTATCATTTTTAGAAGAATGATTTTAGTATTTATTTCAAGGAACCATTCAAAAATCAATATTGTACAAATTGTAGTTTTTTAATTTTTAAAAAATAAATGAAACAATTTTAATTCATTTCAATAGTTGAGATCATGAGACCATTGAAGCTCAACTACCATAGAAAAACTGGAAGCACTAGATGGCCGTTTCGTCCTATTTTTTTGACTCTTCAGCAGGGCACATTCACGATTCGAACTTAGTACCTAACAGTTTTGCGCATGAACGCTTAACCTCTAGACCATGGAGCCAGTATCCAACAATGTTAATGTCTAACTTCAATTAATCCACGAACTTATTATTCACTTAATAAATAAACTCTCAATTACAAGTATTGTACATAGAACAATATTAACTTACGTAATATATCATTACGTAACATATGAATATATCCATTAGTGATCATAATCATAATAATAATAATAATCAATGTTATTATCCAAAAATAATTATACATTGAATAAACGATTATGAATAGTGATATATTAATTCTATATACTAATAAACATGATATTTTATGTTTAATATTTAGCTTGTTTAAAATGTAAAAACGATCAGATAATGTAAATGAATGATCATGTTATTTGTTCATGTAATAAAATTTCACTTTTCTTTATTGTATTTTTTTCTTTTAAAATTTTCTTCTACAATATTCATAATATTTAGTTACTAGTCAATAGGATTTGTGTAAATTAATGGTTTGTAAATTAGAAAGAATAAATTTAGTGAAATCTTTTTCTATTTCAACAAATTTTACTGATTATTGTGATGAGAAAAAAAATAGTGTGATAGACAGGTCTATCAGTGTTCGTTTATTCATTTATGAATATATATATGTGCGTGTGTGTGTCTATGTTGATGTGTTTGTTTATCATGTATATAATATGTTAGAAACTAGGGGATGTTTCTTTCTTCTTTTTTTTTAAATGTCAATTTAAATTGACCTAATGTCTATTGTATAGACAAATCATGTAAATTTTTTTAATTATAGAATTATGACTTGGCGTCTTTAAAATTATAGAATGCGATCAAAAAGAAAACTTATGGTTTTTCATTGAGATTAACAGTTGAAAGATGAATATCCAATAATAAACAATAAAAAATATCAATGTATGTAGTGTCCGTTATTATATTAAGCCCATATACTTTAGTCTAGCTTTCGGACAGCCCATTCTATTCATTCTATTTGAGTCACATTCTGACCTTGTTAATTATTTGCTTATCAATCTTGACTATTTTTATATGAGCACATACGTCTGTGCCCTTCTTATCCCATTCATCACATTTCTGTAACCTGTTTTTGTGTAACTATAAATATTGATTAACTTTTGGTTAAAGAGTTGGCTTACCCGCCATTTCCACTTCGCGTCGTTTTGCTTTGTTCTATTCCATTCGCTTGATATATACAAAATATATGTATTCAAAAGTCCATTCTCGTTATTTGACTTATCTAAACCCGTTATTGACTAACGCGATTAAAGTCGATGATTATATACGAGGATAGGTGACATATATATTTCAAGAACAATCATCATTACGATCTCCTTGGATTCAGATCTCGGGCCACTAAAGTGGAGAGCTCTTTCAACAACATCGTTCGATCTAAATGACGACAAAATTAAAGGGCCCCACATGTACAGCTAATTTAAAAAGTGATAGGACTTAGCCTGATGTTTAATGGAATAGATAAAGCTTGTTTGAATATCTAGGGTATCTGTTCCTCTCATCTAGATATTTCAACAAGTTATCTGCTTTCTTGTTTGTTTTAACAAATCATTATGTTTAATAGTTTCATAGTCTATTCAAGTGTGTTTATGAAAAGTTTACGACCTTTCGTTGTACAATTTACAAAAGAGTACAATCATCGACTTCGTGATGGTTGTATATATGCATTGAAAAGAATATACATTATTTACATGCCGATTTCGTGAACTGCTAACATCTAACTGGCGATCACTCAGTATTTATCATCAGAAACGATGAAGAAATAAGAAACGTAAACTCATTGAAATACCTTTTGCTAAAAATACTGTGTTGTACCAAAAATATAATATTGAATAAAGTCAATTCTATTAATAGAAAAAAAATAAAACAGAAGTAGAAAACAAAATGTCTTTGGTTTTCTAATTGATACTCAAATATTGAGAAAAATCTGTTTGAATCCCACTAAAACATTCAGCATGCGTATATTAAATCATTTCTTATTATCGGTCACATGAATCTATATACAAAGAAGAAATTTTACATTATTTATGTCACTTAAATGATTCCTTAAGTCATATGATATATGAACAAGTTCATATATGAACATTTGTCCAATCTCTTCTGAACAATAAAAGAATTTAGATTCTAAAAGTAATTTGAAATTATCAACTTTACTAATTAATAGAAATTCATAAGGATTCTTGCTAAATCCAATGTTCACGAAATTTAACCATTAAATCAAATAAATCCATCAGTTGAGTAGTATATAAATAGAGGATTTATATATCTATAGAAATTCATTTTATAATTTATGGTAATAATGAACTTGTATAACACGCGTTAGAACTAATTGATCAAACTATGTTGACTTCAAGTTTTACATAACTCTTATTCACTTGGCAATTTTACTGCATGTGAAAGTTGTTGAAAAGCAAATAAGTTTGAAAATATCTTAGGATTGTTTGTTAGTTTTCGCTTCAACCCACTTCAAATGAATATTTTATGAATTTTATATTTGAATTCATGAGTCGATTGAAGCTAGACCACCATGAAAAACCTGAAAGCACTAGATGGCCGTTTTATCCTAGTGTGGGACTATTAAATTACTATGATATCCAAAAAACCCTCTCTCTTTCAAATATTTTATTGTTCACTCTTTAATATTAATAGTAATTTTTGTTAGTCTTTTCCAAAATAACGAATATATTTTTAAACTCTTAACAGTTACGAATAGACAAAACTGGTTATAATCTTCATCAATATATTTGTGTTAGAACGATCATCACAGTAAATTTCAATTAAATTCCATACTTAAAGAGCGTATCAAATTAGAATCTAAGATACATAAATATACTTGTTAAGACAAAACTTCATTAACTTCGGTAAGCCATTGAGTCTAGACACATATTTCTTTTAGTGTGTAAATAATCAACATATTTACTGATTACTGAAACAGTTTAAACATATAGGACTGAAATTTTTTTACATTTTCATCCAAGGTACTTTCATATACTTCAAAAGTATAGCATTCATTTACAAGCGATTGACTCTTAACACGATGTTACATACATATTTAATGCTGATAATATGAGCTCAACAATACAGTCCATTAACTGACAAGAAAAATCTCATGACACTAATAAAATATACAACCTATTTTTAAAACTTTGTATAAATTCTATTGGTTGATCACCTTCACCCAAAGTAGAATTTAAAAAATTGTAAGAAAGATGAGCTTATTTCAAGGATACATATGAAACATAGACGATCAAAGAGCATTGAATATAATTATTAGCATTTGATCAAAATCTAATAGTCCAGAATAAGTAAATTTTTATACCACGAGAAAAGTGTGTAAATTACAGATAAGAAGCTAAAGTGTATACATTGTATCACAATTCTAATTAATAAAAAGGCTTAAATAAATTTCATATCTCTATCAATGTACGTAATTTACATTCACTAGTATGTATAACTAATTATAGCTAGTTGATATTTTATGCCTAACACAATATATATGGTCTGAAGTTTATTTTATATAAGTAGTTGTTGTTTGTTTGTTTTCATAAATGAAACTAAATGAAGATTCCATTTTTTTTTAAAATTCATTTTATATTTCTTTAAACAAACAAACAAACAAAACACTTAGGAGATATCATTTCAATATGCCTCCAGTCTATAATTTACTTTGTACAAGCAAAGTGTATACAGGAAAAAGATAGTTTAATATATACATTGAATGTTCACAATTGATTGATCACTGAGTGGTGATCAATGTCATGCTTGTCTAGTCTTTATTAGTGCAGATCGAATGCTATCGATCATGTTGCAATGTGGCCACCAGTCTAGGTGACTGACACTGCGGGCACTATGTATTGAGATTAGATCGAATGCTATCGATCTGCACTAATAAGGACTAGACAAGCATGAGATTGATCACCACCCAGTGATCAATCAATTGTGATTACATCTCAGTCCTACAGGAGGTTAGTCACGGCTCGGATAGCTCAGTGGTAACGTCTCTGACTGTGAAGCTGGGTGACACGAGATCGAATCCGCCAGGGAGCACCAGTTCCCTCAAGATTACAGGTACACCTTGCTGACGAGTGCCAAGTAGCACGAAACCCGGGTCCAGGGTTTCCTGTTGACTACCTCCAACCACCATCTAATCTCAATACATTGAATGTTCATTTGGAAATTAAAAGAAACCCTGCAAAATATTTTTTACTTTGTCAAATGTGGGTTTTTTTAATGGATTCATAGGAAATAATCAATTTATAGCAATTGTATTGGATAATAAAAATGAATTTCTTCATCAAAGTAATGATCTATTCTTTTAAATCATTTCCATTTGTTACACATTACATTGATATTGTATTTTGTTCATACTAACTGATAATAAAAATATGTCATTACTATGAAATAGATGATCTATATTGCCTATGAGTATGTCTATAGAAATCGACTGTTAGTGGTGGAGGATAATAAGTAGAAGAAGTTTATACATATGTATGAAAAGGTATTTCCTGGAGTTCTAGTGAGGAACGGTGACCAGTGGAGTTCAACTGAGTCTGTTGTGAGATAGCAACTCACTGAAGAAAATGGTGGACTGTGGCTCGATTTCGTGGATTGGTTGAAGTGAGACAATAACACCGTTGGATACCGGCTGTCTCAGTGGTCTAGAGGTTAAGCGTTCACGCTCGCGATTGACAGATTTCGGGTTAGAATCTCGCGAGGCAAGATCGTGAGCGTGCACTGCTGAGGAGTTCATCAATAGAACGAAATAGCCATCCATTGTTTCCAGGTTCTCCATGATGGCCTAGCTTCAATTTACTCATGAATTCAACTATAAAATTACTAAAATTTCAAAAACCCCTTCTCATAAAATTACTAAGTGTTTACACAATATATGTATGTAGTTTTTAATCATTCATTTGCATCTTTCCGTGTTTTCTGCAGTCTGAACTGTTTTCATGTCTAGTCATCAAATGTTTCACCTGTGTCGAGTTTTCGCTGTACTAAAAATCTCTTCTCCACCTGATGATTGTTGCAACTTGGAAGACATAATCCGTTACATACTACTTGCAAGTAATCTTATTCACTACAGTTCAGCATAGAAGTATAATAAAATTTATCACATATTACATTGATTTTAGTTTTCATTTACCATGCTGACCT